AATGGATAATGCAAGTTATCACTCCAGACTTATAGAAGGACTGCCCACAACCAAGTGGTTAAAAAAAGACTTGCAGAATTGGCTGAGTTCAAAAAATATTACGTACCATCCCGGATCTATAAGAAAGGAACTTTATTCGTTGTGTGCCCTTCATAAAGAAAAATTTAAAAAATAAAAAATACGAAATTGATGAAATTGCCAAAAATCGTGGAATGACAGTACTTAGATCCCCACCATATCATTGTGAATTAAACCCGATTGAACTGGTATGGGCACAGATAAAGAGTGAAGTTTCAAGAAATATACCACTTTTAAAATTCATGATGTTAAACAGTTATTTTTGGAGGCCGTAAATAATGTAAAACCTGAAAACTGGGAAAAGGCAGTAAATCACACTATTAAAGAAGAGGAAAAAATGTGGAAGCTGGACAATATTACTGATAAAATGATCGAGCCAGTTATTATAAATCTTGGTTCTGAAAGTTCATCTTCTGAATCTGATTTGGATTTGTAACAAGTAGCTGTAAGTTTTATATTAATATTTTTATTCATCTATTTAACATACCTTAGGCGGTTTTAAAAACTCTTTTTCTCTTTTGTAATTTTTAAAAATTAAAAAAAATGTGAATTTTTTAAAACCCTTTTTAATGTAGGCCAGTCAGTTCTAATATAGTGTGTGATAAAAGAGGTCACTTTTGTTTACATACACATAACACTTTATAACACTGAAATATTTCATTTATTTTTTACAAATCAAAGGAAACTAACTAAAAAATGAATTAAATAAAATTAATTTCAAGTTTAGAATTTATGCTTAATTTTAATGAGGGTGTAACATCGAGTTAGAATCTATGGAGAAGCTATGAGCATATTAACGTATGTATTAAAAACGGCGTAGGTAGGCATGGCTAACGATAATACCAATATGGCGGTGACATCAGGGTCAGACTTAATAATATTAAAACTACTATACACATATGACTAGTTATTCAGAAGATTTAATCATAATCTAAAAAAGTGCAATACATTTTTAATAAACTATGATTTATTTATCCCGCGGTAAAAACTAAAAACACTATATATTATACATAAAGATAAATTAATACAGTCAAATACCTACTATTAAATTATTTTCTGATGTACGGGCCATTACTTTGTTTACATATTTGTATACTAACCTGTGGAACGACATTCTTGAAGATTTTTTATTAACATTGCTTCTGCTACTGCAACTACGTTGAGAATAAGAAACCATTATTATGCACTATCACAATATATTACAGTTTCTATAAAAGTCTTATAAAACTGAAAATATTCGAAATACAACAAATGTAAACAAACATATACGATCTGTCAAAAGTTTCAAAAGAATAATACCAATATGGCCGAAGTGAGGTCGTTTTTAGTCACGTGATGCCCTCTCCATAGATTCTAACTCGATGGGGTGTAAGCACATTATAATGACATTATTTTCAGGTTGGAAATCTGTCGTTAAGAATAACAAAAAATTACGATTCAAATTTTCCAAATAAGTAATGAGTTACTCAATACAATGTTATCAGTAATAATTATAAGTTTATTTGATATTCTTTGTTATAATTTATAGTTTATTTTTATGAACGAGAGAGTAATTAGCATAATTTTAACTGGTACCTTCGACCACTCCATGGGCGTGCTCAAGATTAATTGAAAAATTACTTTGAATAATTGTAAAAAATAAATGAATTATTTCAGTGTTATAAAGTGTTATGTGTATGTAAACAAAAGTGACCTCTTTTATCACACACTATATTAGAACTGACTGGCCTACATTAAAAAGGGTTTTAAAAAATTCACATTTTTTTTTAATTTTTAAAAATTACAAAAGAGAAAAAGAGTTTTTAAAACCGTCTAAGGTATGTTAAATAGATGAATAAAAATATTAATATAAAACTTACAGCTACTTGTTACAAATCCAAATCAGATTCAGAAGATGAACTTTCAGAACCAAGATTTATAATAACTGGCTCGATCATTTTATCAGTAATATTGTCCAGCTTCCACATTTTTTCCTCTTATTTAATAGTGTGATTTACTGCCTTTTCCCAGTTTTCAGGTTTTACATTATTTACGGCCTCCAAAAACAACTATTTAACATTAAAAGTGGTATTTTTTCTTGAAACTTTACTCTTTATCTGTGCCCATACCAGTTCAATCGGGTTTAATTCACAATGATATGGTGGAGATCTAAGTACTGTCATTCCACGATTTTTGGCAATTTCATCAATTTCGTATTTTTTAAATTTCTCTTTATGAAGGGCACACAACGAATAAAGTTCCTTTCTTATAGATCCGGGATGGTACGTAATATTTTTTGAACTCAGCCATTTCTGCAAGTCTTTTTTTAACCACTTGGTTGTGGGCAGTCCTTCTATAAGTCTGGAGTGATAACTTGCATTATCCATTACTATTACACAGTTCTTAGGAAGAAGATCTATCATTTGTTCGAACCATTCTTGAAAGACATCAGCGTTCATGTCTTCATGGTAGTCACCGGTACGAGTTGATTCAAAAGTTAATAAACCACCTTCAACAAAACCGTCTGAACTGCCAATGTGTACTATTATCAGCCTGCGTTCCTTTCCTGATGGTGTGTTTAAACCAGTAGATAAGTTATTTACAAAAGCGTGCCTTTGACTTGTAACAGTTTCATCCTGCCAAAATTTATTTGGTGTATGACCCACGTTGATCCATGTTTCATCAAGATAAAATATTTTTCTTTTTTGGTTTCTCATTTCCTTTATGGTTCTTCGAAAATGTCTTCTCCATATGACAATATCGCTTCTTTCTAATAAAATAGACTTTCTGGGATTCTTTTTCCAGCGGAAGCCTATTTCTTTTAAAAGTTTCCATAACGTACTTCGACTCATTTCTGGGTAATCCTTATCATCTCGAACTGAGACAAGAACTTTATCCAATGTTGGAAATTCTTGTCTAAAGAAGAATTCATGCACTTTCCGTCGAAGTCCTTCTTTAAAATGATATTCTATTTGAAATTTTGGTTTCCCTGGAAGCATTACGTGGCATTTGAAAACTACCACATTTCTCTTCTTTAATAACTCTGTAAATCGTAGATTTCCCAACACCAAGTGTACTGCTAACTAAAACTAACTCAACGGTCTCATCAACACTTTCACATAAACGTTTGTCTGTAAATGATTTAAAACAATTAAATATTAATGTTTTTTCATTAACTGTTAAAGGACCAATTTTTCGGCGTTTACACGGCACTTCCAAATTTTCCATAACACTAGTATACACAATAAACTGCACCTTGCAACTGAAGTACCTACTTTTAGTGAACTGTTAAGAATTTTGAATACGCCACTTGGACCTTCCTACAATATGGAAAAACCCACTATCACATTTTCTGTGGAATAAGTTTAGAAGGTAATTATCTAGTCAATTACTGTCGTAGATTCCTGGAATTAAAGAATTAAATGTTTGATTGTTGAAACCCTTACTTCGTGGAATGCAGTCATTTCAGATAAAATAAAACGTTTTATTTTATCTAAAGAATTAAACTTTATTTTGCAAATAAGTAGGTACTTATTAAACTTTTATTGGTTATATATAACAAATAAAATAAACATCTTACATTTCTTGCAAATTCATTAGTACCTGTTAACCTCCATCACTCCGACACTGGCAACCTTATTTAGGGATTAGTAACCCTCACAACTATTGTATTCTATTCTGCTCCAACCTTTATACCTGGTGGTCATACTCAATTTAAAATTGTTTTCCTATATACTTCTGTAAACTTGTTGACAAATATCTGTTTTTCATTGAGTCACCCGTATCAACAGTTTAGGGATTTGCATACATAATTTATTGTTCTATTACTCTTCTCATACATAAAAATACACTATAATTTAGGTGAACTGACCATTAACAATTATAATTATTTATTTTCAACTGTGGGACAATATAAAACTTTACTTAATTTGTTGATTGACAATTTATTTTATAGTTTTCTTGACATTACTTCAGAACTGTCTATACTGTCAATACATAAATTAATAACCATAGAACAACATCCACTTTCAATGTTTGATATTCTAACATTCTTTACCAAAAAAAGGTCTTACGCATATCGATTATGCTTACTTTCTCATTAGTAAAACCTGCGTGGAAAATAAGCAATTGAGTGTGTTGTATCAAATAAATCATAAAACACTTCATATATTTTTGTTAAACAGTTAAACACATACGACATTATACATGAGATGTGTCTAGAATATTCTGAGGAATCCAAAATTCGATTAATATACAGGGTATTGTATTTGAAATAAGAAAGTTTGGCCAGGGTATTGGCCAATGTTACGTGCACCCAGTATGAAAAGTGTTTTTTGCAAAAAATGCACTAAAAATAAAATACCAGTCGATGTGTTCTGAGTGTTTTTTGCCCTCATATATATTACCGAATTTATTCCATTGGGCTGTTCCACTTTGTATGTAATTTTTTGACGTGCATTTGCTACAACATAAGTTTGATTTCTTAAAATTTTCACACATTCGATTTATAATGGAATGAAATTTAAAAATCCACAAGGAAAATAAATTCCTGCAGCTGGCTGTATACCATGTATCGCAAAAAGAGGTTTAAATCTTTGTAAGTAGGTATATTTTTTAAGTAGGTACTTTTTAAATACACCTACTTACAAAGATTTAAACCTCTTTTTGGAATGAAATTGTGCCACAATGTGATGTTGGCCGTTGTACAGGGCAACCTAAGGAATGCGCGAGTCTTTTGAACGAGGCAATTTTTTATATTGTATTGGTGTCACTTATTTGTGACGTCATTAAATCTATGGGATATTATTTTGCTAGTAGCTGACAACGTCATGGTTACCATATCAACTGTATACTGGTAATTAATTATTTTAATGTATTTCACTGAATTTGAATACATTTGAACAATTAGAACTGCAAATAAAGGTATTTTTTTTTTATTTTAGAGCAATGGAATCTGCAATGGAACAATGTGAGGCCAAACCTCTATCAAGTACATTAAAAATGTTTGACACTTTTAAATCTCAGGAAGATGACAAAGAGTCAGACGAGGAAAGTTTTCATCTTCCGTTATTAGGATGTGATGATGACGCAGAAAACGGTAAATCATTTTAATACACCATTAGACTTGTTTTTTAAATAGTATAATTTTTATTATCGGAGATTAAAAGCTAATGTACGTTGTTGCTAGGCAATTCAAGGCAATAATATTAGAGTTCATTAGTGGGCATGCGCGGACATATCTAAATCGATGCCAGTTATTTTAAACACATTTTTTATAATGGTTTCTAGATTGTCTATTCTCTGCAAATTTTGAAAGCTTATGTCTCTAATTTTCAATTTTAGGGGCACGCCAACCTAGGAGGCATAATATAACTAAATATGGGGCGTGATAAAACTAATAAATACAACTTTCACGTGTTGGTAATTAGATTGTTTTAATACATTCGTTCACGTTCGCTAAAAATTTTAGGTTTTTTCTTTCAATTTCTAATTTTTAATTTAACAAAAAAGTAAAACGTCTAATATTTGTTTTTTTTTTAGGCATGGAAATATCTGAACTAAACGACGAAGATGAAGATGCTATACTAAATAAATTTGATACACGCGATGAAGGAATGGATGTGGATGAATGTAGTAACAAAGAAGACAGCGATGTTTCTAAAAACAATGTTGTAGAACTTGAAGTTAAACTTAGCGAAGAAGAGACAAAGTTAGATGGTATAGATAATTTAAACAAAGATAATCGGATAGATGATTTAACTAAAGATAATGAATTATTAGGAAATAATGAGATTTTAGAAGAGAAAATAACAGAAAATATCCCTGATGATACCGATACTAAAATCGAAAATGAAAAAAATGAAACTGAGTCCGGTTGTGAAGAAGACTCGAAAGAGGCCAATATTGATAATTCTAAACTAGAGTGTAATGAAATTACCGAAGTAAATAAAGACATAAAAGAAAACTCTATAGAATATGGCGTAGAAACTGAAAATAAAGAGACTTGTTCAGAGGATCCCAGCCCCTCCAATGATAATGGTTTAGAGGATAAGGAAAATGATTTAGAGGACAATGATAATGATGATCATGTGGAAAACAATGATGAGAATCAATATTTAGATACTAATAATTTAAGAGAAGGAAGCGACAATAAAAGTGATAATGATCAAAATATAGATGCAGCTACCATTATTGAGGATGAAGATTCAGAAAATACCATAGATCAAGTTAACGAATGCATACCTCAGGCAGACACTATTCTAGACCAAGAACCTTCAAATGACAATGATCAGAAGAGCGATGTAACAGAAAAAAGCGAAAATAAGAGCGAAAATGATCAAGATGCAAATACAGATGCAGCTACCATGATTGAAGATAACGATTCGGAAATGAGTACTGATCAAGCTAACGGATGCATATCTAATGAAAATAATGTTTTAGACCAAGAACTTATTAACGATATTACCGAAGATGACAAAATTGAAAACCTCGATAAACAGGAAGAAAACATCAACGAAATTGATGATGATCTTTGTATATTAGAAGATGAAAATGAAAGTAGTAAAGATAATAATTTAAACTGTCCAATTGAAGAATCGCAATCAGATCTTACAGAACATGAAAAGGTTACGGAAGAAAATGCCACTGAAATAACTAGTACACATTCTTCTGTGAAGGAAATTGTCGAAGAAAGTAATAAAATGGATGAAACAATCGATAATATACATTCTACGAAGGAGATTGTCGAAGAAAATAAAATGGATGAGACAAACGACAGTACACGTTCTTCTGTGAAGGAGATTGTCGAAGAAAATAAAATGGATGAGACAGACGACAGTACACGTTCTTCTATGAAGAAGATTGTCGAAGAAAATAAAATGGATGAGACAGACGACAGTACACATTCTTCTGTGAAGGAAATTGTCGAAGAAAATAGCAAACCTGATGAGACAGACAATGATACACTTGTATCCAAAGACCTCGATGATGCTGACAAAAAAATTGATCATCTGGTCGATAATGATACACATACCAAGGATGATCAAATATCTGATTCCAGCAAGGATGATCAAGTATCTGATTCTATTAAGGATGATCAAGTATCTGATTCTAAGGAATCTAAAGATGAACATCAACTTTCATCAGATAATAATGCAGATTCCAATAAAGAAATTTCTACAGAAACTGTTGATTCTAAAGCAGAAGAAGAAGAAGCTGAATCCAACAAAGATGAAGGCGAGAGTTTGTTAGATATTTCTGTAATAAGAGACGTTGATGAAGACAACGCTTCCGCCATACGAGAAATAGCTATGATACAATTGCAGACCATCGAAAATGATGAACAAGAGGAAGCAGTAGATAATGATTTAGAGGAAATGGAAGTAGATCAAGATGACAACTTAGCTTCAAGTGATAAAGAGGAAAACATTGAATTTGATGAAGGAAACACTAATTCGTGTGATCAAGATATGAGCAATGCTGATATGATCAGTGTTAACACTAGTGATAGCGAAAATAAAGAAAATGAAGCAACTGAAAATGAACAGAGTGAGACTGAAAGTCATCTTTTGAGCGCTGACGATTTGTCAGAAATGAACAGCAATGATAATTCCATTTTGGACACAGATACTAAGACTGAATCAACTTTAGATGAAACTCTTAAAGGGGATATAAATGAACCCACAGAAAAGATCCCCAGTACTGTTGGTAAGTGTATTTTAAATATAAATATTTTATTATATACCACATATAATTATTCAGAAGTTTTCTAATATACACTCAACTAAAAAATTAACTAATCACTGTTTTAGTAAAAGAAAGGTTCACAAAATGGGATATGCTAAATTAAAATCGATTAATAAACAAAAAAGGTATTGCAAAATGAATAATAAAATTGCTATTTTTGAATAGTGTTAATAACTTTTATTGTTTTTTAAAATTTGTTTAAATACACTTGAACTTGAGGGCCTTATCGCGTTTGAATTGCGTGCAAAAGATGGGTCAGATCAGTTGAATAGTTTTTGCGAAATTTAATTTCCAAGGCCGCTCCAGATAATTTGACTGAATTAAATGAATTGACTGAATGAAATGTTTTAAAAATAAATACCACATTTTAGGCTCATAAGGAATTAAAATTACAAACTCCGTAGAATTTAGTTTAAATTAAATGAAAAAAAAAATATTCGACAAGCTGGTTAAAAAACATAACTTTTAGAAAAAAGATCTTTACAAGTCTGTAGCTTGAAAAATATAGAAGTTATTACAATTATTGTTTATAAGTAAAAAACATACCCCTTTTTCAAACGTTTATTTTGTAAATAATTTCGATGAAAACGCAATATGCATTTAACTTCTGAGATAGGTCATAAAAAAATTGCTAAATGTGTCCTAGCATCATTAATAGAGCAAGTTCAATAGTTTAAATATTTAGCCACAGGGATAAATAAATTAAGTATCTGTTAAACTATTTGACCGATCGGAAGGAATTTCGCACAAATTTAAAAGACTCGATGTCCAAATGTATTAATAACATTTTATTTTGTTAATAAAAAAAATTAATAAAATTTATAAATTAGTGCAAAAAAACTGCTTTTTGCAAATATCTCGTAAATTATTTATCACTTTTAATTTCCAAAACAGAAAAATAGATGTTCTTGATATAAAAAAAATGATATAAGTATTGTTTATGTAAAATATAAGGAAAAAAAATTAAACTTTGATGGTACACAAGGCAAATATCGAACACAGTATTTAATCAAATCTTGCCCAAGTACTTTCGATCACAAGATCATCTTCAGGGGCATTTCGTCAGTTGTGGCCTATCCAGCAGTAACAGAATGTCATAAATGTAAATTGGGACATAACAAATACACTAAACAAAGACAAACAAACACTTTAAAATTTAAAAATTGGAGAAGCTACATTTTATATAGAAGCCAGAGACAGATTCTGTATTTTTTCATCAATTTTATTTGTAAACAGGCAAAGAATAAAAAATAAAACTTCACCAGATTTATTCTACATTTTATTAGTAATTATAACAATTTGTCTAATCATCAGAAAATGTTGAAGTACACGAGAAAAAAAAAAATAAAACGGAATATTCTAAAAAAATAATGATAATGAAAAGTAAACTAAAATATGAAAAAAGTCTTAATATCGAGTGTTTCCACCTCTACTACGTATAACAGCCTCACATCGTTGGCCCATACTTAAAATTAATTGCCGTATTTCATATTTAATAATGAAAACACGGAAAACCTCATTTTTGGGACACATATACAGAAATGAGAAATACCAGCTACTGCAGCTTCTTATAGAGGGGAAGGTAGAAGGAAAACGTGGTCCTGGTAGACGGCAGGCGTTCTGGTTGAAGAACATTCGTGAGTGGACTGGTTTTGATTCTCAATCTTTAATAAGAAAAGCCAGGGACAGAAATTATTTTGCTGAGGTTATCGCCAACCTTCATTGAAGACGGCACCCAAAGAAGAAGAAGAATTTCATATTGGTCTAGTTCTCTCCAAATCTGGATCAGAATCTCTCCCACTTCCTGTAAGTTGTTTGGTTGGATCGGTGTCGCTCTAATCGCCTATCAAGGATATCCCAGAAATTTTCAATCGGATTTAAATCCGGACTATGTGCTGGCTATTCCATAGTGTTAATTTCTACCTCTTTTAGATAATTTATGACGATCTGTGCAACTTGAGGTCTGGCATTATCTTGCATTAGTAAGAAATTTTCACCAATATAAGGAGCGAATGGTACTACATGTTGCTCCAGGATCTCCAATATGTACCTTTCAGCTGTAACAGTTCCATTTTGTATGGCCACTAGATCCGTAGGTGCGGTCAAAGAAATACCACCCCACACCATAACGGATCCTCCACCAAAAAATGTGGTGTGTGAGAAGTTACACTGAGTATATCGTTCGTTGGGTCGTCGCAACACACGAACACATCTGTCGTTAGTGTACAAACAAAATCGGGATTTATCAGTAAATATCACTCGTTCCCAGTCAGCCTCTAACCAATTAACGTGTTCTCTGGTAAAATATAGTCTCCCCCTTCGATGCTCTGCAGTTAATAGAGAACCTCGGGCGGCAATCTTAGGTGTTAAGTTGTATTCCCTAAGTCGCTGACGAACAGTTTCAGTACTAATTTGTATACCATGCACGTCTCGAAGCTGAATTTGTAGACTTCGATGTGTTACAAAACGTTGTCGAAGGAGCAGAAATTCTTAAAAATCGATCTTGAATAGGGGTAGTTACCCGGTTTCCTCCTTGTCCTGGTCTGCGAGTATGATCCCCTGTTTCGAGGAATGTTTTTAACACCCGTGAGATGGATGTGTGGGACACATTAAACCGACAACCAATTTTTCGGTAACTCCAACTTTCTTCCGACAGTATCACTGCTTAGGCACATTCATCTCAGGTTAAATTACGTGATTGACGCTCCATAATAAACACAATTAACAATAATTAACAATTAAACAGTAGCCGAATAAAATTCGGAACACTTGGAAATTAGTATATTTATAGAATTAGTACATTTTTTGCTCTTTTTGTTTTGTTGCAAAAAAAAACTATAGCGATAAAACACAGTCAATAAATATAGAATTACACGAATAGCATATATTATAAGGGGCTTGCAAAATATAACATTACAATGAAAATTTTTATTAACGCTAATAAAATATTTTAATATTTCAAAGTGGTGCGTTAATTTCTTGGGGAAAAAAGCTGATTTGTTAAAGTTTTTGATAAGAGTATATGGAAAACTTGTTTATAAAATAAATTACAATAAAAGGTGACTTAAAAGAAGGTTTGTACATTTCATAGTCATTAGCTGCTTTGTTTTGGATAATTTTGCAATGAAAATATGTGCAATGTTATTTATTTTTTCCGCCCGCTATTTTGAAACTGTGTTGGATTTTTTGAAGTGGCGGTCGGCCCTTCAGTCGGCTCTCTTTTTACTCTAGACAGAACACAAAGTACTCTTGATTGAAACACTACAGTTTAAACAATTTTCAATCATTTCATACATTACCATACATAATCAAGGTCGTCCCCATGGTGCATAGTAGAATATAAAAGAACGTTTTTTTTTGTTGTTTATATGACACTATAGTTGAGCCGCCGAAAAGATGGAATGATCACGTGAATGGCACGCACTCTTAAATATTCCTCCCTATGTTATCACTTTTCCCACGTTTACACCGCTCAACAAAAACGGACTAACACTCTTGCTATAATATATTTACACCATTTTTTACAGGTTACTAAAAGTAACACACAATTAATAAAATGGTTATTAAACCTAATTCAGACAATAATTAATACAAATTAATATACGTACGCGTGAACTCTACAAACAAAAATTCACCAGCTAGCGGAAGTAAAACACAAATTAATAATGACGGTGTAAACATTCTCTCAGAAGATCTAGTTTTGGCCGCCTGTCGAGACTTGCATTCAGCAATCATGCGACCTTGGATTCCATGTTTTAAGCGGCCAGGGTATAGTGTTCCTCTTAAACCAAACCCAAATGTACTAGAGCCAATAGGTCGTCCTTGATTGTTAGAGAAATATACAGGAATTTATCTTCTATTTACTTTCATTATTCCCAAGAGAGTTGAATCATTTTCCTTCAGAAGATTAACGCTGGTGTACCAATTGTCGTTTGTAACATTTCTCTTAGATCCGTAGAGATGTTGACAGGCTCGTTCGGCCACTGCCTTGGTACTAGTGACTAGATAGTATGGACCATCCCCTTGGTTTTTGCCAACGTATACTACCATACTACTGGTATAAAATAATTTCGCTTCAGATATTCGCATCGGTCCAAATATTTTTATACCGTATCTATTGGGCTTGCTTGGTATGTACTGGCGGAACGAGCACCGCCCCCTAAAAGCTTCCAACTTTTCGTTTACGGTTACGTATTGCGAATGAGAGAAACATTTTTTCTGATTTTCGTTCCACTTGGTAATAAGATCTCTTATTGGCGCTAATTTATTCAAACTAACTCAGTTTATTAATTATATTAACTCAACTCAGGTTAATGATATCATCAGTTCGCATGTAGCTTAGTAAATTTCTGAATCTCGTGATATTCATTGTCAGTCGGAAAACCTATATACCAGTGTCGTCCGTTTTCCACAAGTCCGTTGTATTAAGGTGACTTGCCTTTCTTACACCTGCAAGATATAAGAGACCTAAAATTTTGTTATTTTCACTTCGATTTCTGACGATATTATGGGCAATATGCTTAGCCCATTTTGTTTTATTATCTTTGCCCAAAAAATATGGACCAATGGCAAAATCTGTCTCATTATTTAATTCCTCATTTTCCTGTCCAGTATCGCTTCCCTCCCAGTTTTCTTCTACATGATCTCATGATTCCTCTTCATCATTTTACTCATCACCTGTTGAAACTTCTTCAAAAAGTGCTATCAATCTTTTTTGCTCTTTTTCGTAATCCATAATATCTGAAAAATAAACTTTGATTATAAAACAATTACTTACAAGTGACAAAATTCTATTACTTCTCTAGACGCACACGGTCCACTGCACCGGTTTTATACATTACAAACTTATAGTTCGAGCATCAACACTGCAATAATACACAGTCGATGAATGCATGATACTATGAATAACAAGTAATAACAAGTTCGCGCATGCCGTCATTGGAGACTAGAATTTGAATTCTTGTTAAAGTTAAATGAGATTTGTATGCAATATGTGATGAAATTACTAGACGAAAGTAAGTTAAGAGGTTTAATAATTACAATAATCGTACCCATAAGGATATCTCAAAACTATTTATTAAAGATTATTTATTGATATATACAAAAACTGACATTTCGAACGTGCAAGTCTCCAATGACGTCACAAAAACATGCGCAATATCTTATCTTATAGTCATAGTATCATGGATGAATGTACCTATCAAAAGAACATACAGAGAAGGAGATACTCGAACGCTTCCGATTGGCTTTAGAATTGACCGTCATTGACTCCTACCGGTCTCCTAGACAAGCTGTGTCTCTTAAAGAGTTAACCACGTATTTTGAATTAACCAATTTTAATTTAGCCTATCTCAATTTGTGTATCTTTTATTTTCTGAAAAAGTAGTCTGTTGATGACAAATATCTAAATAGACAAGTTTTTAAGTTATTAGCAAAATAACGAGTTGACGTTTTTGATTGTTTATTTAAAAATAGTTCCACTAAGAAAATTGATGAATATCTTGATGAGAGTCTTTTTAATATCTTATACTACAGCTGTCAGCTGTCAAACCCGTCTATACACTTGTCTCGAGTAAAAAACTTAAATGGCCTATTGGTTGATTTTCTGTAAAAAGAGAATCAACATCAATGATAATTCAATGTACTGTGAAACCCTACTTAACAAAAACTCTCACGGTGTTTCACTTCTTAGTGACCAATAAATATTACTTGAGGTTGCTATCGAATCAATTTGTTTTATTTTGTAAGTGCCTTATTTATAAAATTTATTGGAACCATTATAAATTTAGATTATTTATTTTAGAAGAACCAACTGAATCTACTCCCGTCGGAAAACGGCCGTTACCAGATAGTGATAATGATAATGAAACAGGAGCTACTAAAAAACTAAAAAGATCTGAAAACGACCCCGTGCCCGAAAAAGAAAAAAGCAAAGACAAGACAAAGGCGAAACCAGGTGAAGAAAAAAAGCGAAAAATTAAAACGCTTACCGCTTTTGAAAAATACATGAAGGAGAAAAATTTAGGAGAGGAAACACTAACCAGGTCCGATTTAGAACAGTTTTGTCTACAAAAAATTTGTGAAGCAATAATTCATAAATCAGATGCTGGAGAATTACATCAGATTATATTAAGGCAAGCACAAATAATAGATAATTTAAGAAAAGAGGTTCAACAAATCTCTAAGCAGGCCAAAGATCTTGATATCGTTCATAAAAAACTGATGAACGATATTCGTATTCATGGTACTTCGAAACCGTTAGTTCCTTTGAAAATTACACGGTCGGTAGGCTTACAAGTTAAACTAAATGTTTCGGAAGACCCAAACAAAAGGAAGTCGTTCACAGTACCTGCAGCTACTAATAAACCACCAACTACTACTCCAAATACTGCTGCAAGTAATGCGATTCGTCCAAGAATTGTTCAAAAACCTAATAATGTTCAAGGAGCGCAGGTAATATATTTTTCTTATTTATACACTCTAGTACTTACAAAAGACCAAAACCACTTAGTCACTGTACTCTTATTGTTACGGTATAATGATTTAGACCATAAAGTGTATTCTAATTGATATATGATGTGCGAGGTACATGTTATTTCCTGTGTAAATATTTAAATGAAGGGTATTTTTTTTAGAGGTATAGAACTTTGAAATGGAACAAAATAAAGATAATTTTTATATATTGACATGAAATTCACTTTATTCGAAAGATAATCTTTTGACATGATAATTTAAATATGATTTCTGGCATACGACCGTCATGCCTAGCTCTGACCTACTCTAATCTGGAGGTCCAATTTTCGATCACTTTTTCCAATATTTGTCGTACTATATCGACAATAACGCGGCGAATGTTGTCCTCCAAGCAATCAATCGTTTCATGCTTATCGGCGTAGACTAGCACCTTCACATATCTCCACATAAAATAGTCTATCAGTGTTAAATCTCACGATATTCGAGGCCAATTCATGGTCCAAAACATGAAACTATGCGGTTTCCAAGCTTTCCTTCAAAAAATCAATTGTGGCACGAGCTGTGTGACATGTTGCGCCGTCTTATTGAAACGACAGCTGCTGAACATCATGGTTGTTCAATTGGGTATTGAAAAAGGCCGTAACCATGGCTCTATAGCAGTCACCATTAACTTTAACGTTCTGGCCAGTATCGTTGTTGAAGAAGTTCGGTCTAATGATTCTACCAGACCATAAAGCACACCAAACAGTGCGTTTTTCTGGATGTAATGGTTTCTCAACATACATTTAAGGACTATCTAAGTGAGAGCGCCCACCAAAGTGGCAAGTAGCACGCGTCTAGCATTTTATTTTAAATGTAACCAATCCAAGCGAATGATTATGAATGACGTCACTGTCATTTTGGTGAACTGAATCATTCGTTTTCATTGGTTTTATTTTAAGTAACATGCTAGAGGCGTGCTACTTGCTACTTGGTACTTGCCACGCCACTTTGGTGGGCGCTCTCCCATAATTCCAAAAAGGGCAGTTTTGTTTGTTGACGTAGCCATTCAAACAAAAGTGAGCTTCGTCGCTAAACAAAATTCGCTTATGTAAATCAGAATCAACGGTAATCTCGTTTTGGCCCCTTTCACCGAATCTAGGATTCTACGTCTGGCTAGGTGATAATGTACTTTCAATTCTTGCATTAGTTGGATTTTGTAAATACTCAATGCAAGATCTTTCCGCAAAATTTTCCATAAAGTGGATGGACACGTATCCATACTGCTGTGCACGGTGGCACAGCAGTATGGATTCGGGTCTTCCTGTATGCTATGCTCTACAGCAACAACAACTTCTTCTGTACGCACTATATGCATTAAGAAGAATGCAGAAATATCTGTATGCATTAAGAAGAACGAAAAAAAAAACGATCAATTTTAAATTTTATGAAACGGAAATATTCGAAAGGACATTTTTTAATTTTGATAAATTAAACTATTAGAAGACTTTTTATTACCAAGTAACAAAAACAAAATTTGTTTAATTCGTATTTTGACAACGATTTCCGAAGTGGAAATCGAAACGTCAAAAAATAAACCTATTTTAAAGTAAAATTGTGCCTTATTCTCAGTAAAAATACTAAATAAAAAAAACTCTGAAAATACCTTAAATTTTTAATTATTGTATTTTGTAAAACTTAGTAGGTACATTTATATTTAGTTAATTAATATTTCTAGTAATACTTTTTCTCATTTTTAGACTCCTACAACCCCTGTCACACAGCGAAAAACACCTCCGGCCACAGCACCAATATTATCTCAAGCTCTGCAAACACGTCCATCACCCACGGCTGCAACCCCTACTTCCCCAGCAACTGCCAAACGAGTTGTTCCTTTGAGGATAAAACCTAGCGAAGCTCAAAAGCCATCTGCTCCAGGAGTAATTGATTTAACCGATGAAGATGAAAAAACGGCCAAACCAGTAGCTACAAATAATGTACAACAAAAACCGATAAATACCAAATTAGGCACATCAGTAAAACTGATTAGTAAAAATGTTAATTTAATTCAAAAGAAATCACCCGCACAGGTCACGAAAGTTAAAAGCGCAACTAAGATAAACACTAACCAACAGAAAACTGTCGCCGTTGGAAACTCTCCAGTAACAAAAGTTGCGCCCCCTCGAGGAGTAACGCCACAGACTGTTCGAGTAAGCTCAGCTCAAATGAAGAATAGCATAAATCTTCCTGCTGGTGTTGTAACATCGCCAGCTACCACGCAAATTATGTATGTCCTACCCCAAGGTGGGGTCGGAAATAACACAAATACGAATGGTCCTAAGGCTTTGCTTGTCAATTTCCCAAATGGTGTCATAAGTAAGTAAAAAATTATTATATTTCGTCAACAACGTTATCTCTGATTCCAAACTTATATCGCCCTTTAAAACTTGACCCAATACGAATAACATATCGCCGCTTCGGCGAACATAGGCTTAAGTCAAAATTTGGCGAGATGGACTTATTAGTGCAGTTCTACTAAAAATCAAAGTATCTATCGCGTGAACAAAGACCTATTACGTTAATAATAATAGTGACTGAGAGATAGCACCAAGTGTCTATATTTGTTTGGCGCGAATGTAGATAAATACATAACATTTTCTTATGAATACAGTCTGAAGTTAGTTACGCCGCAGACTGTGAAGCAATTGTGTGTTGACTTCTCGTCAAGGATGGCCATTCTTGACTATGACTAGTTTTTGTGAAATTTCTCTCTACAATAAGGACCCTTTTTTAATTAGGTCAGTGTTTTTGAGAAAGTAAGTACAATTTTATGATATATTTATATTTTGAGTCTATGTTTACAAAAAATACTAGGTAATATTGTAAACAAATAAAATTAGGTCTATACCCAGGTAAAATTATGGTATATGAAATAATTTCTAAATATCAATTTCTAGTCTATTATTTTGTTAGATACCTACAGGTTATTTTCGTATTCTTTATTTTCAGAAGATGGAATTTATGAAGCTTTTAATTTGGAAAATGATTTAAATAATGAAAATTTGATATTAAATCTGCCTTATAAAAAAGCAAATAATCAACAAAACGATAATCAAGTTGTGAATGTTAACTTTTTTATTATCTTACTGTGTATTTTAAACGGTATGTGGTATAAAACGAATGGTATAAAACGAATGCTCTTTTGCGCAATAGAAATAAACTGTTGCTGTAAATAACATCCCCATTTTGCGTCAATTTCATCCAACAACTCTATTCATAATTTACAAATATATTTTCTTATTAATAAAAACACAAAGTTTTGAGCCACCTGAAAAAATTCTCAATTTATTTTTAGGGAAGAGTCGAAATGTATATTGTAGGTGTTTGTGACCTTGTCATGTTTATTATTACCTACTACAGTGGAACCTCTATTATCCGTCTCTCTATTAACCGTCACCTCCGTCAGGGTCCATACAGAAGTTATATTGACTACTTCAGTAAAAATTGAGTCATCAATTCATTTAGTTTGAGCATTGCGATATATTGCGATGAGCCGAACGAAATTCGTTGAAATGTACATGTGCAGTTATGCCACCACAGCATTTTTTATATAAATAATTTTTGTTCTTATTCAGGGCTCTGGATTAAATTTTAATTTAAATAAGTAGGTAATGATAAATAATACCGTGCTTTTAGAGTTCTATTTTTAGAATCGCAAGCCAAAAATAAAAACGCACAGCACAATAATTATTACAGTCAATATATGTCTGTCACCATCACCATAATTCAATTTGATTCAAATTCGAACATTGATTGTGTCACTTAGTCGTTTGATCAATTAAGTTTTGAAAATGGAGCCTTTCACATCTGGAACATCAAAAAGAAAACGTGTTGTTTTGTTAATTGAACTAAAGAAAGGTGTTTCTGCTGTCGCATTGAGCAAAAAGTATGATGTTCCGGGAACAAAAATCAATGATTTAAAGAAAAATGCTGAAGGAATTGGAAAGTATGCTTCGCAAATGGAATCGTTGGATGGCCGGGTGAAACATCGTAAGACAATGAAAAAAGCCACAAATGAATCACTCGACACGGTTCTGTATCTGTGGTTCGTTCAAAAAAGAAGCGAAGGTGTTCCTTTTTCTGGACCAATTGTTGCCAAAAAAGCGTTGTTTTTCAACATGAAATTGAATGGCGTTTCTTCATTCCAAGGAAGCAGCGGTTCCGCATCAGCAATTATGTGACAAATGCAAGTGGTGACCATCGCCTTCCTTTATCATTGATTGGTACAGCAAAAAAACCACGTTGTTTCAAGGACATAAATATAAACGCATATTAACTACTACGTATACCATAATGCATGGATGTCCCAGGAAATATTCGCTGACTAGTTCAAAAAGGATATGTACAGCAAACCAATATTTGTTTATCTATTTTTCTAACTTTTTGTTTTTAAGGTTATTATACCGGACGTTCGACAATACTTGCAAGCAAAAAATTTGCCACCAAAGGTGATTGTCCTTTTTGAAAAGAAAATGCACATGTCCATCCTGAAGCCGGTATGCTGCCAAGTGACAATGGAAATATCACGGTCTCTTTTCTGCCTGCGAATACAATATCATTGATACAACCAATGGATCAATCGGTCATTGAAACATTCAAAAGAAGATTCAGAAAAAAATTTATTCAAAATCTAGTTATGGAATCGGAGTATTCTTTGCCAGAATACTCGAAAGCATACAATTTAAAACACGCAGTCGATAATGCTGTGGATGCTTGGGCTGATGTTTCGGAAGTAACGCTGATAGAGCGTGGAATGAATTATGGCCTGGATCAACTCAGGATGAAAATGCCCCCGTGACAGCCGAGCGTGATGTGGTAACAAATGAAGTTATGGCTGAATCAACTGTTTTGTTTTCGTTGCCTAAAGATGATATAAACGAATGGTTAATTTGTGATGAGGACGCAAACGGCTACCGATTGCTGATAGATGATGAAATCGTTGAAATGACAACAAAGGCGGACGAAACTGAGTCAGAAGCTGACACAGACTTGACGGTGTGGATGTTGATGATGCTATTGCAACAAGATTTGTGTAAAGAAGCTAGAGAAGCTAAATCGTACATTCATCGAATGTTATTCTCGACAAGAAGAAGCAAATTTGATGATTTTACGTCGATTAAGAAAATTAGCCGTTGCAAAATGTAAAGTAACAATGAAACAAAGATTTCGGAATATTTTAAATCAAATTGATTCGACTGCACCAACATAAGTCCCTCTTATATTGTCAAATAAAACATACAAATAAAATTTGAGAGTTGTACTATGAATTTTAATTTTTTTTTAATGTTCTGTTAAGCGTCTTTTCGATTATCCGTCATACCCTTGATCCGGTGCCCTGACGGATAATCGAGGTTCCACTGTATTTGATTTATAATAATAATATTTGTTAATTTTTTTTTCTTTCAGATATGAAACTTAGTCTACAGTTAGAACTAGTGGACCCTATTATTCATAAATCTAATAATATAAAGTAAATTACTAATCAGTCATCAGCTTCATCCGCGTCCTCTTCATCTGCTTCCTCCCCTTCGTCGTCATCTAACTCCTCAGATTCTGAGCTAACCTACTCATAATCACCTAATAATACGAATACAGAATGTACGGACAAAGCCAATGGAATTAATATGGATGGTATAAATTATCAAAGAAATGTAAACTATGATATAAATACAGAGTCAGGACTTATAGATACTTTTGAGATAGAAGACAACAAAATCAAAAAACCTATTGAAACCGTTGAACAAGATAAAAATGAGACTCAGAATAGTGAAGATTGTTTATTTAGCGACAGCGTAGCGGACCGGGATTACACTCAAGTTCAGGATTATTTATCATATTTAGACAACGACATGCCCCAACCAACTCACAAGATACAAGATAATAAATTTTAAACAAAAGTCACAACCTGATGAATAGATTAGAAATAAGGTGAAGCTATTAAGCAATAGTGATGTAACTAGTGATGATGAGAGTTATTTTTTATAAGACCTAATTTGCCCATCAAGAATAGAAAGTAGTTAAAATGCCAACTGGTAACAAGACATCAAGAGCTTTTAATTCAACTGATACCTTAATAGGGAAAGATCCAAGGAAAGAGAAGCATAGGGAGGCATAGAATGTCATGGCTGTGCAACCTGAGAGAGTGGTACGGATGTACATCAAATAAATTTTTCAGAGCAGCCTTCTCAAAAGTCCGAATAGCTATGATGATTGCCGACCTCCGCCGCGGAGATGGCACTTGAAGAAGAAGATACCTTGATAAATATTTATACGAAAAAACCTAACACTGCTAAAATTAAAAGTGGATTATTGCATTTGATTCAAAAAATGTTATTCCTGGATGCTATCGACCATTTTACGAAAGTTTATAATTTTTATAATATTAAAAAACAGGATACAAAATAATAAACGATTTCATTTAATTGGTCTTTTATTGTTTGACTTTTGACAGCTCTTCTGTTGTTTATCGAGACTGTTTTGCAGATATGAGCGATGGATAAGACTTACTTTTAAAATGAGTATGATAATATTACGTTACACAGTATATAAAAAATAGCCCTATAACTAAGTTGAAATAAATGTTTCCCAGGAAAAAAGACCAACAGTTAACGAAATGATACAATTTAACCATTTTTACACTATAAATTTATCTAGTTATTACAGTTTATATTTAGATATTTCTAACAAGATTGTATAGCTAATTCCTAAAGTAATAACAGAGAACTACGAATACAGAAAAGCGACACTCCTTTGCAGGGGGCAAAGCAAAAATCTCGCAGGGACTAAAGCAGGGAGATGGGCTGGCACCAACATTGTTTAACCTGGCACTGGAGTATGCGGTCAGGCAAATGCAAACTGGACGAGAAAACCTACTGACCAATAAAACGGTTCAACTGGCTGCCTACGCCGATGATATTAATATTATGAGTAGAACATCAACAGGAGCACAGGAAGCATACGCAGAGTTAAAAACACAAACGAAAAGGCTAGGTCTGGAAATTAACACAGAAAAAACAAAAATAATGGTACAGACGAGAAGAAATATAATCCCACAAAACATTATACATGAAGATGACATTGAAACGGTTGGAAAGTTTACATACCTGGGAGTAGAAATATATGCCGATGGAGCAGAGGATGGAGAAATACGAAAAAGGATAACGCAGGCAAACAAAGCTTATTTTGCCCTCTCCCATATATTTCGGTCTAAAAGTGTCCACCGAAATACAAAGATGAGAATATATAAAACTTTAATTCGGCCAATAGCATGTTATGGCAGCGAAGCATGGGTCCTGAAAGAAACATCCAAAAACAAACTCGACACATTCGAAAGAAAAGTACTGAGGAGAATACTAGGACCTGTGAGGGAAAACGGAATCTTCAGAATTCGATATAACAACGAGCTCTATCAACTGTATAAGGAAACACCCCTGTCAAACTTCATTAGAATCCAAAGATTGCAATGGGCCGGACATGTGATACGAATGGGAGAGGATAGGCTACCAAAACGAGCACTGAACGCCAGAATGCAGAGAAAGAGACCAGTTGGAAAGCCAAGAAAGCGCTGGGAAGACACAGTAAGCAGCGACGCACAAGCACTTTTAGGAGTCCGTGTATGGAGAAGAGCAGCCACAGACAGACAAGGGTGGAGGCAAAAAATAAAGGAGGCCAAGGCTCATTTTGGGCTGTAGTGCCGTAGAAGAAGAAGAAGACACTCCTTTGAAGTTGCGTGGGCAGGCCGCCAATGACAGTTAAGCAACCAGAAAACTAATAGTCAGTGGGCAGGTCACACAATATAAATTCTTAAATAAAATTGAGCATTTATGTTGACTTTCAATAAATATGAAATATTGTACTGAAAAAATAGTTACATACAGGGCCAGCTTTTGCTGACATTCTAAATGGTGTAATTATTTTTGATTTGCAAAAAGTTGCAAATACATCGCACAACGCAAAGTAATGGTGAAAATCGTATTGATGGAACCATAGATGAAAATACTTTTTTGTTTATTTTGGTGTTGGCATTGATAGACCAATAATACACCGATTCTTTTTGGCTTGTGTTGATACAAGATATAATTTGTTCGTCGTGGAATTTCCTAATAAATTATCTTTCGTAATATAATCGAAAAATAACAAAGCCATTGTAACTGCCACGGAAATTTCACAAACTCTAAAAATTTCAATTCTCTTTGGGTGACAAATGTTTGTGATCGACAACAAGAAACTTTATGTTGAAATCGATTGTTAATGTCTTAGAAACCTATTAAAATTACATATCATCGAATATCGTAAAACAAACAGAGTTGAAGAATAAGCACGTGTTTTTGACCGTAAAGCAACCGGAATCGGGCATGCGTATACAAAAACGGTACACGTTTTTAGGCCGTAGTGTCGCTTATCTGTGTTCGTAGTTCCCTGGTAATAACTTATTCGGTGTTATGCCCATAATCATATCTATACAATTTTAAAATGCCTCTCCTTTAAAATCGTCTTTTTTGACTTAAGCCTACGTTTTTGCGAATCGGCGATATACGCGTAAGTGAAATTAAGTTCGTTGTAACACTATAAATGATTGATTCAATTATGTTTTATTACAAAAATATTAAACGTACTTTTTTTTCAGCTTCAGCGCTAAACGGATCGGCTGTATCAGTGATACCTTCCAAAACGACGAGTAATTCGCAGTTAAGGCCCGTTCTTCCTAGAAAACACCCCGCGCCTTTACCACATACACCTCCACCAGCAAACAGTTCGTCAGTGAAACCGTTGCTTCCCAAACCTCATTTAACTATTAAAAAAACTGATACGGGTCTTATGCTTCAATGGAAAATGCCATATAATCTTGATAGTTATGAGGCAATAGCAAGTTATCAGTTATACGCGTATCAAGAAACAAGCGCTCCGCCTAGCACGGATATGTGGCGGAAAGTTGGTGATATTAAAGCCCTTGCTCTCCCAATGGCGTGCACATTAACACAGTTTGTAGATAAAAATAAGTATTACTTTGCAGTGCGACCGGTAGATGTTCTTAAGCGAATAGGGTTGTTTAGCGATCCAGAAGAAATCATTTTGTAAAATATAGTTATTAATTTATATATATTTCCTGACTATTTAATTAGAAAAAATAATTGTAAGAAAATGCTTTTTTTATTTATGTCGAATAAATGATTTTAAGGAAATCTACACAAATCTTTAATTACACAAAAAGGGCGATCCAACAGACCTCGAGAATTGCCTACTCATAGTCTGTCAAACCACCTCTACAAGTTATTCACAAGAACAATAACAAATGGACTGGAAACAAAATTAATTTTTACCAACCTAAAAAACAGGATGGTTTTAGGAAAAAGTTTGGCACCAACGATCACCTCCGCTGCGTAAAAGGGATTATAGAAAAGGCTATCGAATACAACCGATCATTGGCCTTATCTTTGGTAGACTTTCGCAAAGCATTCGATACAATAGAAATTAACAGCGTAATAAAGCTGGGCATTCACGTTCCGACTTGCGGTCCCACTTAGTAGGACTACTAGTTGGATATTCGTCTCCACTCACGCTCCGACTTGCTATATCCAACTAGCGGTATAACTTCAGTTCTAGTTTGTTTTCACGATGGTATACATCGCTTAACCAAAAATGTATCGAGTAAACACTACGCAAACTATTATTAGGAGAAGGAAAATGGCAGCATTGTGCTTGTATTATCTTTATCATTTAAGAAAAAATGTTGGATGAAGAATTTTTTTTTAATTAATGGCTTTGGATATTTGATCCATTCAGCCACGATAATGTATTTGACTACTTGAATTTGTTAATGATGTATTGACCTATTGCATTTGTTAACAAAATAGTACTTCGCATAGAGGTAAATTAAAAATATAATGTAAACATCAGTATCACAAGAATCAGTAGCTTGATAAAAAACCATACATTCATTCGTTTCATTCAATGCCCTAGCCAACAATATTTAGGACCCACAAGGGATTACATAATACAGGGATACTTTTCATGCTAAGGTGCCTTTCATAGCGACTTTATAACAACACAAGACAGGCAACGGTTAGAAGGACAAAGCTAGATTTACACATTACACATTCAATCCTAAATTTTTCTTTTAGTCCTTTTTAAATATTACCAAAAAATTTGGTTAAACCTAATATTATGACGACAGATATATAAAATGGAAGATTGACACTGAGGAAGAGGTATTTGTTCTTTTATCAGTTTTTCCAATACATACTTAATAGCAGCTTCATTATATATGCACCCGAACATCCAATGATTGTTATCGTCAGTGTTACCATTACAATCACAAAGTTCGGTTTCACTTAAATTAAATCTATGCAGATAGGCTTTCACAGTAGCATGATTAACAAGGCATCTAACAAACATTGAATATACTTTTCTATTCGGATGACTTCTTGCAGCAAAAGGCGCAGTAGGTAAAACGGGGTGAATTTTTGTGTAAAGGTTGTTACTTCTGTTACAAAAAGCATTCCATTCAATTTCCCAGTTTTCTTGTAATTCTTGTTTACGCAGCGAGACTAAATCACTTCTATTGAGCCAGCTAATTTCTAATCCGTTTGAAGCCGCTTCTTTACCAAAATAATCTGCTTTGGTGTTACCCGAGATACCAGCATGTCCTTTTACCCAAACGAAAGAGACTGAATTATTTCTTTCAAGTAGCTTTAGTTGATTTTCTAATATTTTGACGATAATACTGTTTTTGTATAAATGCTTATGCGAATTATCTAAAGCAGACAGCGCAGATTTTGATTCCGACATGATTACTATTTGTTGATCAGACATTCTTTTCTCAGTAGTCCATTCTAGAGCTTGATATATTGCAAACAGTTCTGCGGAATAAATGGAACATTGTTGGTTTAATTTAAACTTAATGTGTTTTTGTGTTTTGGATATATACCACACAACCAACTCCCAACATGTTTTAAAAGAAAACACATAACACAGACATAGGATTTGTGAGGTTATGTAATTGTTTATATTTATGTTTAATTATATTATTATTTATGTTATTATATTTAACAATGTTAATATAATTGTATAGTATGTCTATAATTGCCGTAAGTCAATTAAACCGGGTTAATTTTTCTATGCACACCACATAAATAACACTGATTCCCTCTAAAACATGGCGGAATGTCTGCGCGAAGGAGATGCGCGTACTTAATTTTCCATGGAGAGTGGTCATTCTGATTGTTTATTATTCTGTGCCTTGGTTGAGAAAGTATTCTCTTGCACTGTACATAATTCGTTTCATTGATTCAATACATTCTTGATAAGTATTTTTAGAAGTGTAAAGACAAAAATCATCGGCGTATTGTAAAATATTACAATTAATTCCCGTACCATGAAGATCCATAGTATATAGATTAAACAAGAGAGGACTAAGCACAGATCCCTGCGGCAGACTAACCTTGGACCAATCAATTTATTATTGCACCGAATGAATACTTGTCTATTTACAAATAGATTAACCAGTACCTGTGCAGATCTAGTTGGGACTCCTATATGTCTTAGTTTCTCGAAAAGTAAGTTTAAAATAGCATTATCATATAAATTATTTGTTGATCGTGTGAACTATTGTGACACGAAATTGCTCGATGTTATTGATGAGGATGATTACAAAATCTACCTCAGAATGGACAACTTCACTTTTTCGCTGATGCTGGACAAAGTTGTCTACTTATTTCCAAAAAAGATACGGTCATGCGTGAATGGAACTGAAAATACCACTGGAAGCTCATTTGAGGATCTGACGTTCAGCTGTAAAATATCTCCACAACTATTGGGAAAGGTGATACCAGAAACTTGTACCAGGGCTATAATAATTTTTCATGCAATTCAAAGTTATTTTCTATTATTTATTTGCGAACTAGGAATCATTGTTCAGCGATGTCGGACAGACAGCACCGTTTGAGATTTTGTTTGGGGCTGATCTAAGCAAATTGTATACAGGGAGGAAATATCAGTTACAAAGTGATCTTTGATGTTTGGACTTCGACTTCAGAAATCGTTATCAAAATATTCCGAAGTTGAAGTCGAAACGTAAAATAAATTTAATTTCTAACTAATGTTCAGGCTTATTTTCAAATAAAATAGTAAATTTTGCAGTTACTTCTAATTTCAGTACAACTATGATTTAATTTTCGTTTTTTGTGCATGATCCGTATCATACTCACATGGAGTGTGATACGGATCATGCTCTTATAGAGAAAGAAAAGAAGAGAACACACAATAAGATAAATCACCATAATGACTGGTATCAGTTGGTAAGATACTGCAAAAGGAAGAAACCATTCAAAGTCGTAGTGAAACAAGAATATTTCCGAGATTTCACCAGTCTAGGAAAATGAGCATTAATCGTTAAAAAAGTTAACACCGATGGAAAAAAGTTCCTGTGGCAGCCAGTGCAGTGTTTCCAATATAATAGTAATATTGGAATATTGAAATATAAACAAAGTTTGGACGTCTTCAATCCTTCTAAATCTGTAAATTTCCGAAGAAGAGGAAAACACATTGTACAAAGTACATTGCCCCAAATCACAGACAAGCTTCTGCCAATAATTAGTAAGGAGAAGAAGAAAGACCTACTTGATCTTTTGCCGCTCATTGATGAAGTTCTTCATAATTTTTACCGAAATTTGTCCACTAAAGATATTCAAGACTTACCGATTTGGTAGAGTTTGATGCAGATAATCAGTAGTTTTTTAGTTTCCTTTTTCAATTAAAGTTGATGTTGGGTGTTATAAAGAAATAGAGCATAAAAAAATGTTAAATTTTTTGTCCTGGAATCTATGTACAGTAAGTCGTCGGTAACTCAGGTAACGGTAATAAGAATACAGAAATATGTCTGCGTGAACCGAATATTTGCGTAATTCCATTAGTGCACGAGATAAGCGGAACACGCACATATGCAACAGTGCTCACCGCTTCCCTGCGGTTAGCGGTTATTTGCATATAAACAAATTATAATGTCATTAAATATTTTCTAATTGGAGGAGCGTGAACGGCCTAGCTAAAGTGCCCAGTCGTTAGTGCCTGGATGGGTGGGAGGAACTGAGAAGTATTACATCATGCCGCCGCCACTTAAAACAGGTAAATATTATCGATAAAAAATTGGAAGGAATTGTGGCACAAAATGAATCAGAAGATAAGTTTTTATTGGAAAGTGATATATGATGATTCGGCTGAAGAAATTGAACAAGAGGTTATAATTGGGCGTCTATCCAGTTCTACTATAAACGAAGCAGACGATCAACATGAGACTGACGTGGATGACGAGCCAGAGGAAAAGAAGGAACCGGGTGATAGAATCGACGAAAACCTAAGATGGAAAAGCGTTAATATTCAGCCGCGTGTATTTCCTTTTGATTCTAGTAATTCTGAACATAATATTCCACATCTTGTTGTTAACTGTTCCGAGTATAAATATTTCCGAGTATAAGTATTTTTTGGAGAATAACCAGTTTATAGTCACTATAACTAATAAATTTTATAAATACATTGTTGACAGCAAAGAACTTGGGCTACCTAGGATTAAACGAATGAAAAGACACAGATGCAAAGGAAATTCATCGTTTTTTGCCCTAAATTTCCTGATGACACGGGTGAAAAAACTTCAAATAAAAGAGTACTGATCAACAAATTGTTTGATTGAAACTGCTGCTTTCAAGAAAACAATGGCACGAGACCGATTTTTAGCAATACTTAGTATGATGCATTTTTCGGAAATTAATTTGGCAAGGGATGATGATACATTACGTAAAATTGTGAGTAAATCTGTAATTTGGCAAGGGATGATGATACATTACGTAAAATTGTGAGTAAATCTGTAATTTGGCAAGGGATGATGATACATTACGTAAAATTGTGAGTAAAAATAGAATCAGAATAGAAATAACAACTGGAGGAACAGTTTAAAAGGGGTGAATATATTTCGTACCGCTAAAAACCGAGCAATTACCATTAAGTGGTGTGATAAACGAGACGTATCTATGCTTGGTACATCATCATAATCATCAACTAGCCTCTAACGTCCACTGCTGAACATAGGCCTCTCGCATGCTTTTCCACTTAGCCCGATTTTGCGCCATCTGAATCCAATTTGTAGTCACTCTTTTTATGTCATCTGTCCATCTCGTTGGGGGTCGACCTCTA